CTTTCCCTGGAAAAACAGCGATATACTCAGTGAAGATGCGCTGCACCCACTGTAACAGCTGTTTCTGATCATCCCAAGTTGCTGCCAGCTTATCCTCTGGGCAGACGTTACGACAACAACGCCCAGTGCCAGGGTAGCTTTTGTTCAGAGACACTCTCCCTTCCCAAGTCTAGAAGCGGCACTCTGAATCCTGCTGGTAAAGGCCGGGCAGAGAGAAAGTCTCGGCAGAGATGAGACCAAGCTCAAAGCTCTGCCCACGCCCCGTCCCAACCAGCCTGGTGTCACTTTGGGAAAACCTCATCTTGCTCTGCCTCTCTTTGCTGGCAGGCGTCATGTTGCTTCTCGATATAAAAACCAAACAGGCAAATTAGAAACGCCTGCAGCAGAGGCTGGGGAGCAGAATGGTGCCTAGGTAAAGCAGCTGCATGGTCAGATGCCTTGCAGGACTGGGCAACTGAGAACACAGGACTGCCTCAGAGATGAGGTGTTCATGGAGAAGACATGCATGCACCTTTTCATGTATTGAAAAGGCTGAAACGACAGATACTCTGCAAGAACAGCCAGCCTGTGGCTTTTTCATGTTAAACCAGCCAGACACAACCTCCACCTCAGGCATACATTACGTGATATCACTCTGATATTTTTGGTGCACAAACTCAGCTCAGCTTCGAGGAAAGGCATGATATTTTGGTGTTCACCATACACAGCTAATGTATGAAAATCCCTGGGAACACACCGTTGGTACTTTCCAGGAGAATGACTCATAAAGCGTCCACTGTTTCTGTCAACTTGCCCCCACATTTGGAAACTACCTACTCCTATCTAGGAGTGGACCAAATGATGACATAAGCTTTTCCTCTAGTGAAAATATAGCCTGGTGAATACTTTAGCTCCTCTTCTTTGAGATAAATAACACACACAATAGCAGATCACTGTAGTGACGAATGAATCAAAATCTGTTGATGCTACGGACACTAGGTTAACACCCTGACATACCAAAGCTGCGCATATTCCTTTTAAAAGCCAACTAATTTAGCAGAGTAGTTTAAAAATGCCTGAGATTGCCATCCGTCAAGGTGATGAGAAGAAGGGCAATTTCACCGTGTGCTGAAGTAAGTAACAGCTAATGAAAAACTACAATAAGTTTCAGCTAAAACCGCAAGTAACAAAACCATGAACTGATACTCCAACTACTCCGCATCCCCAGATGCTCTTTTTGAGGCTATTTTGCCCTGAACAGGAAGAGTCTGATGCAAGAAGCTAAGCTGTTTTGAAGTTGCACACTTGTGGAAAATAAATATAATTTCCAAAACCACTGCAGACATGACCTTTTCTAAGGGACATAGCTCAAATCAGAAAGCAAACATCATACTAACGGCACATGGGAATTCCAAGGTGGCAGAGAATCTAATGATCTCCGGTGTAAAGCTGTGCCGTTACAAACTGATAGCAACATCAATTTTTTTGTTGTCGTTTTATTTTGTAGTACGAAACAGTGAATGACTGAACATGGAATTGCATCTTGGTCATATACACATCACCTTACTAGGCAACTTCAGCAAATACTTAGCTGACTGTTAGGAGGTCCCTTTTTTCCTTTAATTTTTTCACTTCTTTTTTCTTTTCATTTTCTTTGCTCTCTCTCTCTTTTTTTTTTTTTTTTTTTAAAAGATGCATGCACAGCATGCATTAGAAATGTTGACTGCCAGGGAGGCAGCACATCATACTCACATGAAGTTCTGGTGCACCTTGATTTTCCCTCCTAATTTGCCCCACTCCTGACCTGAGGGTAAATACACTTTCTTTTCTTTTCTGACAGCCCACACCGAGCTTGCTCACCTACATTGTTCAGCTGAATCTGGTGCAGAGATTGCAAAAGTACCCCAGAAATCCCAGATCACTGGGGG